TTTTGCTCTTAGAACACTACCTTAAAGAGTTACTTCGCAGTATTTCTCGGTATGGCTTTTTCATTATTGAATAGACTTCCTCTGTGTGCTTTTCCGGACCTACCGTGTATTCTTTCTTAACAATTCTGTTAGTTCAATCCTTTATATAATACTTAACCAGACAGTGATTTTCTTTTTTTTTTCCACTAAATATTTTGTTGCTTTAACTGTTGAAGTAGTTGGAGGGTGTTCATATCCTTCTGTTCCATTTTTAATGTAATGCAGATGTTGAAATAAGCATGAGTGCTTCAGTAGTGGCTTGAACTCAAGTTTTCATTGCGTTGTGCTCAATGAAAGGGTGAGGGAAACTACGTTAGAGCTTCTTATTTCAGCAGTATACAATGAAAAATGATGATTTAAAAAAAAAACAGTAGACAAAAACCCCAACAATTTTAATATCTTGCCTGTTACAGTTAGAGCACCATGAAAATTTACAAACTAGCAGCTGTATTTAAGAGTTTGACTTTGTTCTTGTGAATAGTTCTTGTGAAATAGGTAATTTAATTTAAATACACAATTAGAATAATTTATATTTAATGTAAATATAAGATTTCTAGATAAGTGTTTGCAAGGGTTGGGCTTTTGAGGCTAATATGTAGTGAAGTACTCAAAAGATGTGAATAATAGGAGCCACTCTCTAGTTATGGTTTGCAGAGGGAGGAGGACAGGAATAATTGCTTATATGAAAGAACTACATTTGTGTTATCCTAGGAATCACAAGATAAATATTTGAGGTGTTCTTTCAGGTTAGATAGACTTTTTCCCCCCTCTTCTGTCAGCCTTAATGAATAAAGGTTAATTGCCGAAGAATGGATTGAAATTACTGCCTGTGGGCAGTTTTACGTTTGTCATTTTCCGGGTTACTTTTTTATTCATAAGAGAGTTAAAGAGATAAATTTGATAAAATGATCTCGCCTTGCTTTTAAAAGCTATCCCAGAAGGGGTGGGTGATGCCACTTGGGTCTGTTTTATTTCTCAGCCTTTCTTGGTGCAATATTGGAAGTATCATTTTTCCACAGTTTCTGCCACAGAATTTTCCTACTTAATTTATATGAAAAATGCAATATAATTTTAAAAGATATATATATTTCTCTTATTGTATTCTTTGTTGTTAGTAATTTTACCAGCATTAGGAACTTTGTTTGCAGAAAACTGCTGGCTTCTTTATTAGTACTGAAATGACAAACAGAAGGCAAAATAGTTATATTGTTCGGATGTATTGATCTTGTGTCTGATGATGCTGCTGTAATGAGCACGGAGATTTATATCACACGTGCTCAGAAGGTGTTAGACCATAACTTAGGTATTCACAACATATCTTAGGCAAACAAGTCCTGTTAAGGTTATTCATCTGTACTTGTGGAACTATATGCTTAAGGTAGGTTGTGGTCAGTGTTGTTTTTGCCCCAGTTTCGGTAAGACTCCAGATAAAGCATACATCAAATCCGTTTGTTATTGGAGTGATTTTTAATGCAACTTCACTTGTGATACCTTGTTCACTCTTCATAAATGATACTTTAGACTTAATAAAATAATCAGTCTCTTAAGACAGTTGATCTCCAAAGCTTTTAGCAAGGCTGGGTGATGCTAAATGAAGGGGGTTTTGTGACTTTTCTTTTCATTTTTACCATAATAATTTCTGGCTGGATGAATCATTAGGAAATCATGTTACATGTTTTCTAACATTAAGAACATTAAAAAAAAAAAAAAGTGCAACACTATTGGGGGGTAACATTAATTTTAATCCCTCACTGAAGTATCTGAGCAGTATACCTTTTGAGGAAAGATAATGCCTGTTTAGTTGAAGTTCAATTATGACATCTGGTGGCTAACTACTAGTCTGAAATACTGATTCAGTTGAACTTTAAACAGTGCTATCAGAATTACTCTATACACCCTGGGGACTCTCTCACATCCTGGTTCCATTCCAGATCCGGAGGTTAAGAACACACTCATGTGAATACAATGAATGACAAACCAGTTCCAGTATAATGGAAACATTGTTTGCATTTAGTTGAAGGTATCCTCCTGAGGAAGTTCAGTAGGTGTTTTGTGTCAGATTTGTTCAGTTAGTGATGATAGGGATCTGCTGTTTTTCTTGGGTCTTCTGAGTGAAGAAAGTAGCAAGTATTTGTTTTAAAGAAAATAGTTGTTACTATCCTTGATTTAGATGGAGAACAACTGGAATCAGAATCTTTAGTTTCAGTAGACAGTTTCCATTGGATTAAAGGGACATTATATAAAGTCTACACTACAGTCTAGTATAAGGAAGAAATAATACTTTAGCCATGGTCTTCAGCATAAGTCATTTGCCGTATGTGGCAACAGCCCATTTTTAGCACAATTAAGCTATGCTGGGGCACAGTACCACCTCAGCTGGTTAACTGTAGTTACTACAGTACTGCCCTGTGTGTAAATTCCACAGGCCAGCTACTAGTCTTCTGAAATGCCTTTGACAAATAGCAAATATTTTCTGAGTGAGATCATATTTGTAGTATTGCTGGGCTGTTTATAGTTATAAATAATATAAACTCCTTTTTTAATTCTTTCTGACAAGTGGATTGGGAAGCAAGTAAGAAATTCTGTAGCTATTGTTGTATGCTGGAATAGAGCGCAATCTGCTGTTCCTGGGGAGAACAGACTATTGCTTTGGCCTTCAACTTTTTTGAAAAGGTGGGAAAACTTCATCGGAACAGATCGGTTTAATAGTTTCTGATAGAAATAGAAGTGTGGTTGAATACTGGGTCAGAAGCACTTCTTGCAAAAAAAGCCTGTTGAGGCATCACAGCAGTTTCTCTGGGCTGTGAACATGAACTTTTAAAGTAGCAGTGAAAGAAGTGGCTCCTTTGGTGCTCACAGCCATAAAAGAAGTAAAGAAGATTAAAAAAGTATTGAGTTTTTCCTGTACATAAGACAGCCCAAGCCTTTTGCCAATCCCTAGACCTCTTCCACTTATTGTCCTGACTTGCAGGTTAAAATTAAACTTAATGTCCCAATAATCTCACCTGACAGGGAACAGATGAGCTATTCCAAATTTGAATGACTACTTGTGCTGATTACATAAATGCATGAGGTTATTGTTTCTTTAGCTGGCAGAAATATGGTCACTTATTCAGGATCTGCCTTTAAGAGACAATCTATCTACCTTTTTATGGGAGGTGATCAGTGCACCCTTCCTGGCATCTCCTCTAAATTGGTAGTGTTGGTCACCCGTAACTAAGAATCTGTGATTTCCCTCTATTTTGCAGAAGAAGAGAGTCTTGGGGTGCACGCACTTGGCTGTAGCAGCCTTGGCAAAAAACTGGGGTTTTGTGCCCTACAAAGAGGAGTAGTATTCCAAGAATGCTCATGCTGTTTTATCAGACTGTCTTGCTGTGCCTGTGTTTACTACTCTACAAGTATACTCTATGTAACATTGTATGAAGTATGCATTCATACTCTACCACAGGGAAGAGACCATTTACACATCCAAAGTAGAGATAGTTGTTCTGTGGTCTGTATTCAACAGTTCTTACAGTAGCATCCTTGAAGCTTTTCTGAAGAGAAATTTGTAGGGGCATGAAAACTATGCTTGTATGCAAGTTAGAAGACACACTTTGAAATATGATCTAAATATCGTCAAGCATTATAGTTAGCAGTAAGATTTTATTGTTGGATTACCCAAGTATTTCTGAAACGACATGGGACTGAGGACATTAGAAATCATCTTGTTTTGTTCTCATTTGTAAACTTGGATCTAGCAGTCGGATCTCTTACGTGAAACTGTAAGAGTGTTTCTGTTCGCAGTGACTTGGCAGGAACTGAGCTTGACACCTGTAGATAGATTTGGGATGGAAAAGTTGTTTAAGTTGAGGTGAAATGGCAGATGCCTTAACACAAGGAAAGTAGCATAAATGCTTATCTTAGGTGTGCTGGTTCCCATGTTGGCTTTTGGCAGATTTCATCGCTCTTCCTACCTCTGAGAAAAAGTATCGTCACAACAAAAGGTTTTTCCTCCCCTCGCTTCTCCCTGCTGTAAATTAAGAGGACACAATGCCTGCTTTTCAGGGGAACAGTATCTTTACCTATCTTGCTTTAGGTGTATGTGTGTTTACTTTTTTCCCTCCCCCTACTCTGTTAACCAATGCTTTGAATTGATAGTATAGATTATATTGATTTTCCAAATATCTCTCATAGAGCATTTGGTTTGGGATATTTTTGTTAAAGCATGGCATAAAAATAGTTATCATTAATATAATTCCTATGTGCAATACAGGAAACCTTAGCTAATAATTTCTTTGAATTTGGAAATGTTTATGTCACCCTGTATGTGGAGCAAGGAAGAGTTTATGGCAGCGTTTTTAGTGTGCACAAGGCCTACAGTGTTTGCTAAGCCAGCAGAAGCATCTTGTTTTGCCTTCTAAGTTTTGACCTTCATGAACCTTTCGTACTGTTGATACTGCTTGCAAGGAGCCTCTAACTCACAATTGCAATACATATTCTCTGTATTTAGGAAACACTGTAGTGATTTTTCTCTCCAGAGATCTGCCTAGCCTTAGTATCCTGCAAACACTGCAAAGTATTTTAATTATTCTTTATAACATATGTATTTGTGAACAGGATGAACAGTTCTCTTAATGGCTTAAGATGAGGGGCTTCCTCCAAAGAAAATCCAAAATTCATGCTTGTTCTTTCCCTGGGTAATCATATTTTAGTTTTAATATCTGGCAGGGCTTTAGAGTTGTCACTCTTCTTTAATAATATGCTCATCCTAAAGTAGCTAATAATATCAAATAAGCTATTACATAGAAATTTGCATATATATTTAAATCTATATTTTGTTAAATGTTTCCACTAAAATTATGTATTATTTTCTAGAGGGGTTAAGTTTACATTTTCCATGAGTTTTTCTTTTTTTCTTCTTTTTATATAGGATTGTAACTAGAAACTGATATCATTCTCTCTTCCTGTTTCAGACTAGAAGATGAATAATCTTTCCTTTAGTGAACTGTGTTGCCTGTTCTGTTGTCCGCCATGCCCAGGGAAAATTGCCTCCAAACTGGCATTCTTACCTCCTGATCCCACGTACACACTGATGTGTGATGAGAGTGGTAGTCGCTGGACTTTACATCTCTCAGAGCGAGCAGACTGGCAATATTCTTCTAGAGAAAAAGATGCCATTGAGTGCTTCATGACTAGAACAAGTAAAGGTAACAGGATTGCCTGTATGTTTGTGCGTTGCTCACCTCACGCCAAGTATACTTTGCTCTTCTCACATGGAAATGCTGTTGACCTAGGTCAGATGAGCAGCTTTTACATAGGACTGGGTTCACGGATTAATTGCAACATATTCTCATATGATTATTCTGGATATGGTGCAAGTTCTGGGAAGCCAACAGAGAAGAATCTGTATGCTGACATTGAAGCTGCTTGGGTGGCTCTTAGGACAAGGTAAGACATTAGTTGCCATTTCTCTTTTACAGTGTGCTTTTCAAATAGTTGTACTTTATCTGCATTGGTAGTTTAAACAGAAATGCTGTATTTTAGGATTAACGGATTTGTATCCAAGCTGATTGGTGGTGCCTTATGTTGAAGGCAATGTCAGCATTGAGCAGGATCAGTAAATAGTACCTATATACTAGAAAAATTGAAATGGGATGAAACTTAATAAAGTATGTTTCAGTCTTGAATGGTTAGAAGATAACCCTTATTGTCACAGTTTGGGATCTTCTCAGTTGGAAATTGCAGAAGATAGGAAAAAACTATAGTAATTGATTCCCCAGTAAGTGAGCCACTGGTGTGATGCAGCTGAGAGAAAATGCAGGTTGGTTTTTCAGATAATTGTTTTTTTGAAAGGCAGTGGTAAAAGCTGTTATAAGAGAACCTGGTGAGACTCTGGATTTCTGTATGGTGTTCAGACCACCTTTGTTTCAAAATTCAGACTAGCAGCTACAGTATTTCCAAAGATAGCTTTCTATATAAAACCAAAAGATGTTTTTATCTTAGCAAAATATGATGTGCAGGAGAGGTTGTAATTGATCTGTGTAAATACATTATGGTGGCAACAAAAAACCAGGAATTTGAATCAGTGATGTTAGCTCAAATAGATTAAAACTGGACAAGATAAAAAATGCGAATTGGAAGGATGTTGTTTCAGCATTTTCTATGGCCTAAGCCTCTGGTTTTAGGGAGATAGTAAGATGAAAGGCTCTGGAGGCATTTTCTGATACAGGTAAGAATCCCAGGCACCAAATAAACGCAGCACGGAATACCCTCTTCTTAAATTTGAGAGCATTTTTCACCATGGTTTGTTCCATTTAGAGCAATATTCTTCTTGTGTTACAAGTACGCAAACTACAAAAAGATTATTTTTTAAATACTATGCAATCATAAGAATAGATGTTCACCAAAAAACCTCCCATCATATTGTGTATTTAGCACCAAAAAAGCTGTGAAAACCTGAATTTAATGTAGAGCAGCATGTTATAGTTTGATCATTGCAACCTGAGCATACCATTGAATAATACAACATCAGAGATGTGACTTAGTGTAAGGGCATGTGTAAAGACTCTTTAAATCCTGGAGCCTGGTAATTGTTGCAGTGGATTTAGAACTTGATCAATGTAATATTAAGTATTTTCCTATTACTTTGGAGCAGATTATTCTTTTTCAGCATTTTAAATACACATATTGTCTTGCATTTCTTATATTATGACAAAGGTGTTATACTTCCTTAAAAAGAAGCATATTTTATTCATATATTAAAGTAGGAGGAATGCTTATTATCATAAACCTCATACAACCACGGGGGACAGGTATACAGCCTCATGTATTTGAAGATGTGCGTACTGTGTTGTTAGATTAGGTTTGGGCATTTCTTTTGATTACAGTAGAAAGTTGAGATATAACTAGACATCCATTCTGTAAGCCAAGAGCTGCAACAGGTGCACTGGTGACTGTTTTGTAGTTAATACGTGATCTGGAAGATAGCCACTTGGTGAAATACCCAGGAACATTGTTCACAAACCATATTATGGTTTTGGTCAATGTGGAAGACAGTTTGACTTATTTAAATGTACCAGAAAATAGAAGAGAACTAGATGGTGCAACTTAATTGTTTGTTTATATCAGTTTACAGGTTCTGTTTTATGAACTAATTTGTAATTATTGTCTCTTCCTCCCCCTGATGAATTTCTGATTGAAAACCTAAAAGGAAATGTGATTGCAACTTGAATTCTCGCCTCCATTCTTCAACAATGCATAGTGTACCTTCCCCACTCAAATAAGATTGTTCATTATAATATCCCATCTGAACATGACTTTTGCTGAACGGACATTGTCAGGGCAACTCTAAATACATACTCCATCTATCTGCTTTTCCCTCTTCCATGCAGGAGTGACCTCACCTCAATCCCATTTGCTGTCTACATTTATTTTTTCTGTCAAAACTTCCTTTAGAAATACATAATTCTGTAGACTGTATAGAGCTTGGATTGGTCTGCCCAACTTGCGTATTTCACAAATGTGAACTGAATTTTTTCCATTGCTTAAAAATTTGTTGGTATTACTAGTTTCCACTGTGATACTTTAAACAACTTTCCAGTTGGCCGACCTGGTCTTGTCCTTGTATCTGAATGCTGAATGTAGCAGGGATAAGTTCAGCATGTGACTCTGGATATACTGGCACACACAGTTTGGTTACCAGTCCGTGGTATTCTCTTGAGCCCTGAGATAGGGCTCACCTGTGTTTAAATACTTGATGAATATCTGGACCAGAATGGAGCCTTTGAGCATTTGCTGTAGCATTGATTCACTCTTCTAGCATAGCCTGTTCTGTCAGTATTACGCTGGCACCACCTTTAACATTTTATAATGTAAGTGTTCTGCAAAAACAAATTAATTCCGTGAATTGTTTGCAGGATAGGTGTAAGTACAGCTGTAACTCCTTTGAAATTCATGTTGATGGGATGAGAGAAGAAAGGGATCCTAGACTTTTAAACTGTGCCCCATAGATTGCGATGGGCCAAAGAAAAGAATGGAGAAATTACCTTTGTTGGAGGTTGATCATGGCCACCTGCAGCTCCCTGCATTCCCTGTTCTGAGAAATGGGATCATAGAACCTAGCATTGAAAGGTGTTTGTAGGGTAATAGAAATGCTGATGTGGACTTCGTTCTGCAGTCAACACAGCTGCTTGTGGTGGAGATGTGTTAGTGTGTTAAGTTTTATATCTTGGAAGGACAGTCCAGATGGTCATCTGTAAATTGGCACAGCTGTCGAGTGGGGACAGCTGGACACCAGAAGTGCAATAGTCTGGAGCTAGTATTGCGGGTGATGGTGAGGTTGCTCCAACACCACTTTCTTAAGTGGTTGCTGTAAGGGTATGTGAATATTGTCATTCATGTAAATGAATATAGGAAGCTAGTTTGGCAGCAGATCAGAAGAGGTAAACAGCAGATGCAGATCCTGAATTGTGTCCCTACTCTTCACCTGCTTCTAGTATTTTAATAGGAAGCAGTAGCTATCCACATGGATGCTGACTGTGGAAGAAGGCAAGGTGATTCACTGCCATCGTGTTTGGGAAAGTTGCACGTTGTTGCATATTCATGTGCATGGGACTATATAAAAGCTGCAACTGAGGACATTCTTTTTCTGACAGTCATAGCTACGAAGTGTTGAAATGCCAGGAGTCATTTTGGGATACGCCTATTTTCTGCTGTCCTGGTGTCTGAAGGCCTTTGATGACACCCTAGCAAGGGTGGAAAGGTTTAACCAGCACCAGGCAAATGCAGGGCAAGTGGCACTCATTCAGAAACCTGAAGAGAAACCTTGCCAGAGTTGCTCCATGACCAGATTTACCTTTAAGAAGCCAAACAGCCTTTTCATTGTTGCTTATCATGGACTGTATAATAATTGAAAAATTGAAGGGTAAATCTCACCATCAGACTGTGTCAAAGTGGGCAGAATGTCCATAATTTGAACAGCCAAATATAGGAATAATATCAAATCTATTTGGGTGTTGGCTGAAAGTGTTCTTTTGAGAATTGACAAATTATGGTTTTGGGTTTGGGTTTTTTTTTTTTCATTCAAAAGTAGGAGGGTTTTTTGCTAGAAGATGAGGTGCCTTAACTTTGAATATTTGGAGAGAAATTGAGCTTTTATTTAAGTTGATAAGGTAAAGTAGCTTAATTTATTGTGAAGTGAAATCTTGCCAATAAAACAAATGTACCAGTAGCATTATAAGGTTTAGAAAAGGCCGAACCATCATGAGAGAGGCAGAGGAGGTGCAGTTTGTTGATTACTACATGCATGGTCAATGGGCTTGCCTCTCGTAAAACATAGTTCCCTTTTTCTTCTAGCAATGTTACATGTTGTATACACAAGAAGGGGAATGTGGATCTGAGTTGAGGAAGAGCTGTACGCTCATGAATTTTATGCATGACCTGGAATGTTGATAGTTAGAGGTATGGAGGATGTTCATGCCCTTCATGTTCTGGAATTTGTACCTGTGATTTCGTGTGTTATGTGCGTGATGACAAAAGGTTCCAAAATATGCATTGAAAATTCCCTCAGGATGTTCTCCCTTGTTCCTTTTGCCCCAAGCACCTCTGTCAGTTGGTTAAATGTGTGTGTTGCAATACCTTCACAAACAGTAGCCTCTCTAGAGCATCCATTGCACCTCTTCGTTAGTGTGAACCCAAGAGGTACTATTGAAAATGTACCCTTCTAAGGTTGATTTTACTGATATTTTATTATTGTAAAGCAAGCAAGTCTTCTAGATTAACAGCAGTAGTTCAGAAGTAAAAAGATAAATTGCCTTCTGTCTCCCTTGGGTATATCAAGGGCAAAATGGCAGGTACTCTAAGAGCCTGCAAGTATAGCATGGTAATTTCAGCTGGTATTTTGTTGTTAAAGGTAACTGAAGTTAAAAATCAAACAAACAAAAAGCCCACATTCCTTACAGCCAGACATGCATTTTGTAGTTTGCATATTGCACATCACGGTAACGTGATGTATATACAACGAAAGCATTTAATATAATGAATATCCAGTGTAAGTGATGTATGATGTATATCCAATTAATGTGTTCAAGGTAAGGACAGATGGGGCTTTGAGCAACCTGATTGATGACAAAGGATATCCCTGCTTATGGCGGGGGGCTGGACTAGATCGTCTTCCAACCCAAACTGTTCTGTGATTCTGTTCTTGGGCTCTGGATCTAGGGAGTGGTCTGATGGTACAGTTACAATGATTTATTGGCTT